GGAGAGCCCCGGGATGCACCGGGAGAGCCCCGGGATGCACCGGGAGAGACCCGGGAGAGCCCCGGGATGCACCGGGAGAGACCCAGGAGAGCCCCGGGATGCACCAGGAGAGACCCGGGAAGCGTCGGTACCACGGCCGAGCCTCCCATGCTCGGAAAACAAGGACAACCTCACCTGTCCCCGCCCCGCCGGGAGCCGCCCTGCAGGTAAAGGAGCGCCAGCGCTTCCAGCTTCGCTCCTGGTCCAGCTGAATTTAGGAAAAATAAAAGCGTTTTTGGGAAATGTTTGTGGATTTCACGAGAGATCGGATGTCGCGTCCATAGAGGGCTCGAGTTCGATGTAAGGAGCCATGTGTTTGCTTGGCAAGAAATGATGGTGCTGGAGGATTTTTAGTCCTGTGACTGCAAACCGAAGGAACAAACAAACCAAAGATAATCAAAATACCCTCGGGAAGTAAAATACAGGATCGTGCCCAAAAAGGATTACTGTGGAAACACAGTATTTAGCCTCAGTTTCTCTTCCTCTTCCCTTTTTTTTATCTCCCCTCTTACCTCCCTTTTCCCCTTCCCCTTTTTTCTTCCCTTTTTCCCCTCTTTTTTTTTTTTTTTTTTTTTTTTTTTTTTTTTTTTTTTTTTTTTTTTTTTTTTTTTTTTTTTTTGTCTTTTAACATTCAGGCAGAAAATCCTGGAAAAAAAAAATCAAGGGAAATGTATTTATTCAGTTATTCAATGTAACTGTTCAGATTTGGATGGATACTGTTTCAGCAATGACCCCTGTTAAGTTACATTAAGTATTAATGTACATTAAGCACAAAAAGTACATTAAGTGTAATGTTAATATACTGTTTTCTTTTCTTGGTACCACCTGCCTCTCCCCTTCCTAGCTAGATTTTAGGAATTTAACCTTTATAAACTGCAATGCCACCAAGTTTCAATTCCTAAATTTTAAAATTATTCCTGGAAATGCTGGTCAGAGCTTCTAAGCATGTGCCTGAGCAAAGAATTGGTATTTTTGATGAGTTTCTTAAGATATAACATTTCTGTTCTAAAATACAGTGTATTTTTTAGGATGTTTTCCAATTATTTTCTCAGGGGTGGAGCTGAATGATCTTTAAGTTCCCTCCCAACCCAGATATTCTGTGATTCCATGGTTCTCCTTCAGTGGTTGTGGCATGCCCTGAAAAGTAAACCACGTGTAGAAGTGTTGGACAGGACACCAGCCCATGATGATTTCATTATTATTTCATTCCTTCCTAACCCTTAAACTTCACATCTGAGAGCAACAAAATGATTCCCACACAACAGACCTGGGAGAGAAGCGGGGGAGGCAGTTAAAAAAAAGGAGAAAGGAAATAAATAATTGATAAATTTGTGTTGGACAATGCAGGTTCTGTGCAGAGTCCCAGGGCACATTCCCTCTTCCAGGGGCAGCAGGGAATGGGGGCACACTCTCTCCTGACATGTTCTGCCTCTTGTTCCCACCTCCAGCTGCTGATTCTGCTTTCCTGAGTCCCCCACCACAGCTGCAAAGGTGAGAAGAACATCTGTCCCCTGCCCTTCCTTCTGTTTATTCCATGGGAAGCTGTTCCTGATCAACACCTCCGTGACTCTCCAGCCTTCACCCCCTGCTTTGCTTCCTCACCCTGCCTCAGAGGAAGTTTGTGGAACAGAGAGCTTGATCTAAGAATTGGCAATGCACAGGTGGTTTGGGATGGAAGGAATCTTGAAGATCATCTAATTCCAACCCCCTGCCATGGGCTGGAATTAGATGATCTTTCCACGATCCCAGGTTGCTCCAAGTCCCATCAAGCCTGGTTTTTGACACTTCCAGGGATGGGGAATTT